AAGGAGATTATCGTTACTTAAGCATGTTTTAGTACATTGGTCTTACACAGTACACACCGATTCGCCTTCACTCGTAAACCTTTAACCTCTGCTCTACACCCTCTCAAACATAGAGAAGAGGCCTGTAACAGCGGTATATAATATTATATATATATATATATATATTGTTACTTTTGATAATATGCTTAAGTGTTAATATAATACTAGACCTGAGAACCTGATATAGTCCTAGTTCAACTGATCAGTAAGCTAAAGTGGAAATAGGCCGATCGTATAGCACGAAGAACATTCTCGAGCCTCGTACCGGTAAGCGAAGTGTAGAGCGGCCCCCTACCTAGTAGATTAAAGAGAGGCTGAAACATTGTTCAGCGTCATGATGTACTATTCTTTGGGAGTTGCCTACGTACATTTGCGTACATGTGAGGAACTATATTGATTATGTTAATTTATGAAAATCCTTGTGCAGTTTATGTATGTAAATTGCTTCCACGATACAGGAGAAAATCCAAGGACAACGTTTGATAGAATAAAATATACGATATCATCATAATATGATTGAGATATTCTTTAATTCATTCGAATAGTCGTCAATTTTTTGATTTGAAAGTTATCTATTAACATAAATTGTAATTACTAACTGGAATTTGTTACAAAATTGAACGTAAGAAGCGCCTGTGGCGGACGCTCAGTTGCGCAAAGTTTTCTATTATGGGACTTAAATATTATCGATCGCCTTTCAAGGCCTGAACAACAAGGCTGCAGTATCTAAATAATTCGTTGAGTGTTCAAACTTTTAGAAATCTTTAAATCCGTCGATCTCTCCCCCCCATAACGATGAAGTCTCCGGTGTGTGTACCTGGCTCCATCAGTAGCAGATGTATTTCCAATCGACGTACCAGTTACACATAGATCTGGGTATTTAAGACAAAATTTGAAACTATTTAAGAAATTTTAATTTAATAGTAACTTCCGGTATTTGGTAACATTACTTTTTACCAAATCGTTATTGCCAAAAGGTGTGACACCTCTCTCGCCTCTTCCACATCCATATACCTACGCATACATGCTCGTCGGTTAAGGGTACTCTTAATTTGGCCCATTTTTACTATATCGCCAATTTGGTCGACAAACTTCCGCCTAGGACGTCCCTTTCCGACTCTTCCATTCACTTCTGCAACATATATTTGCTTTGTCAGTCTTTCTGCATTCATTCTTTCTACATGACCAAACCACCGAAGCATTCCTTTCTTAATCCCGGTCACTGCAACACACTGCATTGCAAACCACACTCTTCTTTTATGACACAGTTCTTCACCCTGTCACTCTGATTCAGCCCTAACATACTCCTTAGCGACCGCATTTCTACTGCATTTATTCTACTCTCGTGCTTCTTCTGCCACGCCCAACTTTCACTACCATATGTTAAAGTAGGGACTAATACAGCATTGTGAATTGCCATACGTCCCTTTTTTGACACATTCTGACTTTTCACAATAGAGTGTAGAGCCCCATTTACTTTATTTCCTGCATTCACTCGTCGTTCAATATCCTTATCATATCTCCCATCCCTGCTGAAAGTTCGTTCAAAAATTAAAATAGAGAGAATTGGAAAAATTTTCCTCAAACTCGGCATACTCGTAGAAGTGGCAACACAAGTTTTGTAATTAAACGAAAAATTTGTTAATATTTCATTGAATAAAATTATTTTACGTATTTTTCAAATATTACATTTTCAACCCATAGACATCTACATCTATCCTTGATTACGAATCAAAATGCAAAGTCGTTGTCACCTGTGAGGTTGAATACCTCGTTTCCAGTGAAAAGGGTCTCTCTACATTTACCACATACAGTTTGTTCTCTACATTCACCACACGAAACCCAGCAGCATTATGCTGCTATTTTACGCTCGTATTCTGTAAGAGCTTGGTCCGGTCGAGCCGACCTTTTCGTGCAACAGTAATATAGTTGCAGCAAGGCGTCAAATTCACGATTTCACGGACAGACTAAGGTGTGATGTGACGTTTAGATGTAATAGTTAACTTAGGATACCTTCAGTTTTTTAATTATTAATATGGTCGGATGTACGTAGAGTGAGATTACTGTATGTTGTAGTCTTGCTTAGCAAATATTGTGCTTGGTTTTGGATTTAATTTCAATAAGTACAGAATTTCAAGCAGGTTGCAATTTACCCAGCCGCCTTCTCTATTTAAATAAGGATTTTTTTTAACTTCAATAGCATCACTAATCATCTTTGGTATCTTGTGGTCTATTAAGTAAAGGCGGGCGCCGTCTAGGATATGATCACGGACTACAGACTTCCTGGCGCCTGGCGTGTGGTGTTTCATGTCAGCTACATGTTCTTTTCGCAAGTGTTGTAGATATGTTTGTTTGCCCTCTATAAGTGAAACCATATTTACAATCAAGGCTTACACTTCTGTGTTTTTTATTACGATTGCTCGCCATGATGTCTTGGGTTAGAATTTCGGGTCAGGCCAATTAAGACTCGTCGTCGTGACCGAATTCGGTCTGTAGAACATTATTTTAAGGTATTAAGTAGAAAATTACATTTGACGAATCGTATATTTCAATTAAGGACATAGGTACATAAATAATCATTTTATTACCGTTTATATCCTGTAAGTAAATTTATCATAATTTGAGACTATGAAAAATATTAATAGCATATCCCTTTAACAACTCTGCTAGTAGGTATCTTGAAAATCGATAGTTCGCTACAACAAAAAATGTCGTCGGTAAGTTTCGCTTGTGCAAAAGTTTTACACAAATTCACTACAACCAAGCAGACGCGACCGAAATTACGAAAGTTCTTATTTTAACCAACTCTATTTGTTTCATTTTATTACATAATATGGACTGTGCCTGAGACATAATTTACATAAACTTTTTAAATTTGTGTTACGCAAATAAAACGAATAAGGAGTTATTATTTTTACGAGTAATATTTTGTTAAGCTTTAGAATATAAAATTTCCGGATAAACCAACGAACACAGATTTTTTTCGAATTTCGTAAAATAGTTGATCAGAACAGATAAATCAATATAAACTTAAAAATCATTCAAATCAACGACTATTAATACACGTTTTCGCAGGTCGTATAAGAAAACAATAAGGGCAATTTATAACATAGGTCCGAAGGAATCCTTTGGAGAAAAATTTAAATGGTCTCTGAATATATATTACGAAAATTTAATTTATGTACACAAAAACAATAATATGTGTGTAATGTACATTCTGTAAATACTAGGAGGTTATACTAGTTACTCGACTCCAAAGAGTCGTTAATTTCTCCATGGGGCAATGTATACATTTTGACAACAAAGTCCCAGAAATATGAGGTCTTACCTATCGAAAAGTTTATAATTGTTGATACTACTAAAGAGTACATGATTGATTATAAACCCTGGAAATGGGGTGATCGCTACCATGTTGTTTCTAAATGTTTTCATACTATTGTATAAAATATTATATTGTAAATTAATTTTATTTAAAAAAAGTCCCGCTGCGTTTCTAGCTGGTTCTTCCCAAGACAGAGGTTTTTTCCGAACCAGTGGTAAAGCTAAAGACTTCCAATAAGCAAATTTAATAAAAATGAGTCTATTCTATTCTTTACTGGGTGATATTGTTACCGTCTGGAAAAAAATAGGGTGTAACGGGTGAACGAAATAGAAGCAGCCACCCCACTTTTTTTTTTATTTGACATTAACGTATTATGAAATTGTTCTTTCAATAAATACTATAATTGAGTACGTATTATTTAAATTTCCATAGTTTTTATTTGATTATATTCATTTAGTTTCATAAATTTTGTTTTTATTTTTCGGTATCGAAAGTGTATCTCAAGTTAGTAGTATTTATTGATAGATAAATTTCATAATATTTAAAAAAATTAAAAAAAAGAATATTAACAATACTATAAACATTACTAATATTCCCCTTAACCACTCGTGGTAAGCTTAAATTGCTTGTGTTACGAGTGGTTCACGCCAGTAGTCGAATGGTGGATTCGAACCCACGACCTTTTTGAGTTCGCGGTCCGCGCCCTGCCATTGGGCTACTGTCGCTTAATTGTGAAGTATCAGTGTCGTAGGCTTCTCTATTCCGTTCACCTGTTACACCCTATCATTTCCAGACGATAAAAAAGTTCATCTAGTACCTATATATTATACGCTATATGTGTCACATAGTGAAGACCGTACCGCTAGATGGAGCAACGGTATGCACAAGACGGCTGGCGCCAACTGGATGCTCGGAGCGGAAGATTGGCCTAAGTGCCGCGCCATTGGTAAGGCGTATGGCCAGAAAATAACTGCCGTAGGCTGATGATGATGATAATGATAACTTGACATGAATTAACTAGTATTCTCACTAGGTTCATCACAGCTCATGAGTAATGTTTGAGTTTTTTAAACCATAATGTGTGAAAGTATCAACGTAAAAAAATGAATATTTTCATTTACAAGTGCACTCTTTCTTCGTGTAAACCAAATGTCACGCTCCTCCATGCGCCAAATATGCTAAAAGGGGTCACAAAGTTGGACGAGGATGACAATTCTCCCGCGGGGCTGCGATTACATTTGCATCTAAAGTTTCATATGTAAATTATTCATATTGTTATTATTCATATAAACTCTTAGTAGTTTTAAGAAAAGTGAGTATTTATGGATGTCCCCAAGTTTTCTTCTGCGTCAGAAGCCAGAGTTAGAGCTACGTGGGCTTTAGAATTTTCTCTTTCTTTTTAATTTCCCAGTGAAAAGTTATTGTAATGGGTCCGATTTTGCAAATTGGAAATTTTAACATATCTCCACGTTTCAAGGTCTTTAGAGTCAAATAGTATGGTTTTTAAGAGGATGTCCGTGTGTGCACACGACTGTATGAGTATCCGATTCAATTTTCGCCTTTATCCAACAAAGATTCCAATCAAGTCAAAATATCTCTTATGATTAAATTATTTTAATCTTCTTTTTGTTTATTCCAGATAGACGGAAGCTTGGTTTTAAAGCAAGTGGGCGTAAACGATGAAGGCCTCTATGAGTGCGGCGTAGAGAACGAGACTGCATACGTCGATAGAGTCAATCTTACAGTCAGAAGTGAGTTTTATTATTAGATATATATGATAGTAAACTGTTCGTTTTTCAAAAATAATGTCTGGCTAGGCTGTGTGAAAGCACCAGGCTTCCAGAACAGAGGTATTTCCGAACCAGTGGTAAACTAAGCAAGAATGACTTTCAATAAGTATTATTTATAGTCTATATTGAATAAAAAAAATCTGATTTATCATCAATAGAGCTCTTCATCATCAATACACTGGTGTTCTTCCTCAAGGAACGCCACAAAACACATTCTTAAGCTACCTGCATCTGTCGACTTCCTGTATGATGTCTTACCACACCTACCTATTGCCACTTTAGTATACTGTAGACATGGGACGAGTACTCGGTTTGGATTCGGTACTCGGCGGATTTTTTTAGGGTTCGGCCGAACACCGAGTATTAACGGCCGAGTACCGAGTACTTGGCCTTAATTATATTCCATTGAAAAATAAAGACAAAAAGCCAGTTTTTATCATTATTATTATATTAGACACTTTAAAACATCAGGAACATGAGAAACAGCAGAAATATTGAGAAAGTACATAAGAATCTCAATCAAAAACACTAGTTTTCGGCCCTATTTGGGTCTAGTTTGCTTCTTTTTGCTTCATATACTAAAGCCCGCCTCTGAAAAAAGCCGTTCACTGTAAACTGAACTGGCGGGTGTTGATAGGTATTGAGCCGCAACTTTTCCCAAGATGGGGTAATATCCTTCATTAGAAATCCACCATTTATATGGATTTGCATCTCTTGCGACCCTTGGTACGCTTAAGTAATGATCTAACTCTGCTGCAGCGGAATTCTTAGGATCATTAGGTTGGCAACTGGTTGATGCGTCAGCAGCTTCTTTCTTTTTCAGAAGCATGTTTTGAATGAATTTTTTTATGTGTTTCCTAAGATCAATAATTTTTCTAGACGTTTTCCGATAAAGCGATTTTTATAAGCAGTCATTTTCGCGCCAGATAACGAAAACAATCTCTCGAACATGAGTTATTTGACAAGTAATCAGTAATCACTCATCAACAGTGTCCGTGGGTGTGTGACTGATCGAGTACCGATACAAGTACTTTTCTTTCGATACTACTTGGTACTCAGTTTTAAAATATCGATACCAAAGTACTTGGTATCGAAAGAAGAGTATGAAGTAAGTACTTGTTATTTCTCGTATCGTTTCATACCTAACTCTGTGTAAGGGAAATAACCGCGCGCTGTTCACTACTGCGTTTTTGTTAAGCCGATTCGGCCGAGTACTCGGCCCAATCTAGGCCGAATACTCAGTGGCCGGGTACTCGGCAAATCACTACTCGTTCCATATCTAGTATACTGATCCTATGGCCTATGGCACTTACTCTAATTTTACTGCGGATGTCGTCATTACGAAGAGTCTTACCCTCATACATAGAGAAACTTGGAGCAAGGACGCTAAGCGACCTTAATCTTCATCATACGGCCAGCAGAAAATTATTCTGTAACAGCACAGTGATCTTGAACAACACAATTAAAGAAATTACTGAAAAGTAGTTTTGAAGTGAACTCCGTAGGCCTGTAGATACAAAGAAATGTATTAAAGAAATAATCATATTAACACTTCCGTCTCACTAACTCTTACTTTACAGCCTATAAATGTCCACTGCTGCGATTTTGCCACAGTTGCCACGCTTGGTAGGAGGGTTGGCAACTGCAGTTTTTTAATTATTTTGAGCTGTTACGTACGTGATAGAGCCATGCTGCAGTTATATTGGTAGTTAAAAATTTACTTTATTTTGCTAAAAACGAACTCAGAATATATGACTTCTTATACTGCGCTTTAAAGATTTTAATTTAACTTTCGTTTTGTTTATAATTCAGCCTTTTTGTCTGTTCTCTTATTTTTAATTAGATCGTAAAAAAAAACAGGGTAAGTGACTAAAATAAACACTCTTGTTCGTTTTTAGTTAATTTCGTACTTAGACCCTTTTACTGGATACGAGGCATCCCATCTTAGTCCTCACGGGTGATTTTGATTCGTAATCAAGAATACATGTAGGTGTCTATGGGCCACAGCAAACACTTACTACCTACCAGATGGACTGTGTGCTTGTTTGTCACCCTATCCTATAAAAAAATCGGGATGATGCTGCTGCCCATTTCATGTTTCAGTTTCCCTCTTTCAGTTTCCCTCTTTCGCTTCTTACAACACCCAGTGGTCGATAATATTTTTTTATTAAAATATTAATTATTTAACCCTTCTGTGAATGGTATAAATAATATTACAATTTTAAGGTGACTAGAATGTCGTTTAAATAGGTTTTTTTATAGGATAGGGTGACAAACGAGCACACTGTCAACCTGGTGGTAAGTGGTTGCTGTGTCCCATAGATATTTACATCGGTCGTCAAATACGAACCAAAATGCAGATGCGTTGTCACCCGTGAGGACTAAGATGGAATGTCTCGTTTACAGCAGAATGGGTCTCCGGTTCTCCACGCTCACCATACGAAACACAGTAGCGTTAACCTGCTATTTTACTCTGGTACTCTGTTAAGTGCGTGGTCCTTCCCCGGTCAAGCCGACCTATCCGTGCTACAGCTATACCACTAATATAGCTGCAGCGTGGCTCTACCTTAAACATTAAAATCTTCATTCCCTATTTTTCTACTTTTAGGGGTGAAGGTTTTTCTTTAAATTTATATGGGACTACCCCTGTACCTGTACCTGTATAAATTGATTAAACCGTTTCCGAGATGTTTTTGAACTTGCTTAATAAATTCACAAATTTCAGCAGAGTTGTCTAGTCTACTCAACATCATTAAATCAGTATGAAATAATCATTTACTTTACGTTAATGTTTTTATACCAAAGTATCACTAAGACACTATTAGACCACCTAAACACAGATGAAGACGAGTCACACGGAAGCGCGAAGGCCGCGTAATGACGCCTATTATCTATAATCCAGCATCTCTAGACCCGCGATTTAAGTAGAGCTAAATTCAGCATACAGTTCATCGAGGTCTGGTCTCTATGTGTAGTTGCATTTCAATAATGATGACGGTGGATAATGTGGTGAGTATTGTGTTTTTGAATAGTGCATAAAGTATGAGCCTTACTGGCTCATTGCTCTAGGGGTTCGAATTCCAGGTGGGGCCAAAATATGTAATTGCGTTATTCTGTCAAGAAGTTGGCAGTGTTTTATCGCCATAACTCGGAATGATCTCTCTCCGCTAGTGTCACATTACTTATTCAGACTATGAGAGTGAGGGAATAGAGAGTGTATACATTCTGGCACTATAATCCTATCCTGACTAAATGGCTAGTCTCCGTTGAGACTGGCCGCTGTTTCCGACATTCGGTTTTGAGGACATTCTTAAAGTATCGGCCTATTTACGTTCAACTGCTGGACCTTTTGCTCTTTTCTCCCATTTCTGAGAAGGTTTTTAGCCATGACAAAATGTTTTTGTTTGTGGTGGCGGAAAAATCCATCAACTGCTCTCGACCCATGAGTTTCGTAAGAGGCGGCTACGGGACTTGCAAGAATAATCGTACCGGTTCCGATAGACGGCGCTAAAACCATCTAGTTTACGCCAAACGTTACGTAAACCGTGTGACCATCTAAATCAGTTGGAAAATATTCAGATCAGCCACGGATAGCGGGGGAAAAAGTGCGAAACATCTGGCACAAGTTTTTCAATACCTGTTCATTATTGCTCAACCTGCATATATTTGGAGAGGCCCATACCAAGCTGCCATCCTTGCTATAGGTCATTCTTGTTTCATTCGTCAGTCTATATACAAGCCTTTACTGTGAGATCGTAGTGCTGTTCTAGATATTTTAAATATGGTATACAAATATACTTTTACAGAGCCCCTACACTGCTATATTTTATAGAGGTGGGCCAAATATTCGTTTTATATTCGGTATTCGGCATATTCGGCAGATTTACTGAATATTCGTATTCGGCCGAATATTCGGCTAAATCACCGAACATTCTTTAAAGGGGTACTCAAAGTACCTATCCACTGTATGGAAATGTACGTTGTGAGTAATGGCATGTTTTCATATTTTTGCTGTTGAAAGTATAGTAGTTACGTTGTACCAATTCTGGTGCACTTGTAGAAAGGTTGTACCAGTTCTGGCGCACGACGTTCGTCGACTCACGATCCTAATATATAAAAAAATAAAAAGGTTTTGGCATGCTCTGATCACGAATCTGCGGTCCATTTTTGCGTAGGATGCACGGTTCCGGAGATGAGCAGATCAATTAACTCTTATCTAATTGATATCCGCTGCGAGCCTCAACCGTCATTAGCGCTCCATTGTCCTTATCTACTTATCTATTGTTGATTGACTACCGTCATTATCTATTATTCGTCCAGCGTGTGGGTCGGCTTATGCTATTGTATTATACTCCTTTGTTCCTATCTACAACACTAATCTGAATCATCAATAAAACACATTACCTAATTTTGTTAAAATTTTTATTTATAAAATACAAAATCTTATTACTTATTATCTATAAAATAGGAGCGAAACATCTCATCCACTAACATATCGTTGTACAATGTGTTCTCTGTAAATATACTCGTAAAACTATGCATTGAACATCCCTGAAACTTATATAGCAAATACATTAAGCAATATTCGCCACAAACTGAAGTCCTATCAACATTCCAGTTCCATCTTTTACAATTTCGTACAGGTGTCGTCCATATGAATCAAAATATTCACCGACGACATTCGTATCGATATATAAAGCTACCCAATGTGACCCTGGTTTATCATCTGTACCCAAATTGCATATTACCTAGTCAGGTCATAAATTCTATCACATGTTTAATGTAAAATAATTGAAACAAGTTTATTCATTATGTAACCATTTATATACCAAAATGAACTTAACAAAACCTAGATTCTTATGACACTATAGTTTATTCAAAATGACCTCCGTAATTTTGAATACAGGCCTTCAATCTGCGCGGCCAGTCGTCTATCTCACCACGAACGAGGTCCATGTCAT